CAGATCAACTTGAGTTACAACCAGCTCTCAAGAACGAATGAGTTTGTAAGTCAAGGGTCCACTGTATGCTGGAATTATCATCACTAGGAAGTGCTTCTGCTTTGCAAACTAAAAGACTCTGTTGCTGACTTGTGCTCAGAAATAAATCTTTAGGAAATATTTTCTAATTTATCCTTCAGGCAATGACAACAGATTGTTCTCTCCGAAGTTACACCTGAGATGGATAATGTCATTTTATAAAAATTCAGAGTTATTTTGTTTTATTCTCTGCAGTGCCAGAGAGTGCACAGGATAGGCGGGCATTTTACCACTGAGCTAATCTCTACCCAGTGGGCAGCATCAGAGCTTCCTTGGACACCGAAGCTAGACACCCAGGACTTGGATCTCTGCTCTCCGGTCCACCCTGCCCGCTGACTGCTATGGTCTCACCCCCGCTGCCCTAGATTAGTATGACGCAGGTCCTCGCAGCAGGCTTCTAAGTGGCTACCCTTCCTTACCTCTCTGGCTGCTCTGGAGTGAGTTCAGGGCAATCCATGCCTGAGCATTCTAACTCAACAGCCTTTAATAGCTCCAGTGACTTAGGAGAGCTCAGCTTCCTTTAAGGGTCATCCAGGGCCCTTCAAACCTGGGCCCTTTTACCTCACTGGTGACCTTGCCGACTCCTGGGAACACTGGACTAAGGAAGAGCACAAGAGTCTCTGATTCTTCTCCTCTTTCTGCAACTTCATCCCTTCTGCACAAAATTCCCATCCTCTTTCTATGCTATATATACCGGGGTCCTGCAATGTAGAAAACAAAACTTAAATATACCCACATACAGTGGCATGCGTGTCACTTGCTTTGAAATCATCAGTTTTAGTCTAGACGTGTAGCTCAGTAGTACAGTGTGTGCCTCACTCGTGAGGCAATGGGTTTACAAAAAAACACTAAGCAGTTTAAAGCCTAATCAACAATCAGTTATCTAGACTCACATAATTTAACAGTGTTCCTAGCACTGCACGTTTAGATTGCTTCTAATATTTACTGTCTTTCCTTCAAATCTAATTATTTCTTCAGAAATATTATTAAAGGCATTGCTGGATTAAAAGATGACTGTGTAAGGGCTGGGGATTTAGCTCAGTGGTCCTGCTGCTTGCCTCACAAGTGCAAGGACCCGAGTTCAATCCCTGGTACCAAAAAAAAAAAAAAAAAAA